TGAACAATTGTTTTGTTGGAAAAACTTGTCAAATTTGATGTATGTTCTTTGAAAATTTAATTCAATGTCAACAAATACAAGAATCAACTGAATTCTGCATTTAATACGAAGGTTTTGAAAAAATCCAAGAGTATATTATGATTAAATATTCATAACATTTTGGGAAAAAAAACAATCTTGGTTAAATCAAGACAAATATGTTCAACGTACTATTGAAAAATTTAACATGACGGACTCCAAAGTAGTATGAAATTTTTTGTCATCACATTTCAAACTTTCTACAAGTCAATGTACAACCTATGTCATTGAAAAAAATATTTCATCACTGTCCCAATACAAAGTCGATGCCATACTAATATATATGATGATGTTCACAAAGTTTGATATTGTTCAAACTATGAGCAAAGTAGAGAGTTACATTATCTTAAAATGCAAAGAGTCAAATTACGTAAAGTTTGCCTGTTTTCAAAAATATTCATATATTTGATGTTATTGGGAATTTTCACATAACAACATTTACAACTTATAGAATATACATTTAAATTACATTATATTAATTTGAATTCAAAAATCAGATACACAAAAATGTTATGTTATATAAATAACATAACATAACATTTAAATATAATAAATCAATTGAAAATATAAATGATGATGCAAAAAATATGTGAATTCTAAAGAATCGATTTCATGAATACATCAATTTAAAAAAGATGTGCTCAAATATCTATTTAGACTATAATCATACATAACACATAATTTTGTGCTAGAAATCATAGATGCTTCAACTTGTTATATCCACGTCTATGTAAACACAATATTGCTTTTTTCTTGTTGTGCATCTGAAAACTAAGATTAGTTTTTTTATATAGTTAAAGAATAAATAAAATTACTAACAATGATTAAATACTTTTAGTTCATCAAAAGCTAAATCAAAATTGTACATACATTACCTTTATTTATATTTAAAAAATTTGTTATTTTTAAAACGTGTATTATTGATGTGAAATATTTTTGAGAAACATTTTTAATTATAAATTTATTTAACAAGAATTAACTATTATAAAATGTCTAGTACATGTTAGAATAAAATCATATTTGAAGCTAAAAATTATTACACTTTAATATTTGTATGATCTTCAACATATCAAAACACCTTTAAAAATTCTTTAGAAAATTCATGTGTGATATAAATATAAATATGATATACTTTACTGTTATTCTTGAATAATCCAATCATTTTATCAGGAAAATCCTGTTTGAAAGAATGATATCTAATATTAGTGTTTTTTTAATATCAATCATTAGATTCATAAATATTATTAAAAAATAAATCAGAAATTGACAATATCATGCATTATTTCAATTTCAAGGACAAGCACTTCTAACCAAATTGACTTCTTCTATATGTTTATAACCTTAACATATTTAACTGTCACATTTTGCTAAAATATGCACTTCTTGAATGTAAAATTATAATTCATGCATTTATTTCCAAATATTCAAAAATAAACCTGACTATGGATTTATTTTCATTCTGAACTTGTTCATACTCAATATGTACATAGCTAATCAATGAGTAGACATAGTACAACTTTGCATAAAACACAAAATCATAATGCAACATATACTTGGAATATTTGAGAGTTTAGTTTATAAATTTCTTATGAAATAATTAAAATTTGCAAAACTTCTTGAATTTCATATATATTCTATAGTTTTGTTCATAGCACATGCAATATTAGGCTTTGTGCAAAATGAGGTTTGCAACCAACTCGTAATAAGAAATATTGAACTTCAAATTTTTTCAAATGTCATCCCTATACAAAATCATTATCAAAGTTTGAAACATATAGCTAAAAAGCACAAAATAGATTAGAAGCAAAAAGCTAAAATGATAATCACAATCTTACAATTTTCTATGTTGAATCTTGCAAAAAATTAAAAAAAATATTTGAATTTTTCATCCTTCAAGTTTTTTCAAGTTTTTAAATTTTTGTCATTAATTTTTTGCTTGCAACATCAAATCTTTCATTTTAAACTTACTTTTAAAAAAATCTTATCAATTGATTGATAAGATTTATATTTTTAGCTTTGATAAGCTTGCAAACCACATTGAATATATTGAAATAATTTTACTAAATAATAATTAATTAATTATTTCTTTCACTTATTACAAAATCTGCTTCATTTGTATCATGGTTTTTACTTCTCTTAATAGATGTACCTTTTGAATGAGAAGTCATGAAAATTGATAATTTTAACTCAAAGACAAATTGTCATAATCTTGATCATAACAACGCTTTCACAATTGGTGGTAAACCAAAAGAGTTAACCTGTTTGATTTAGACATTGTGATGATTGTCATGAGATATTTTTTATTTCAATCTTTATTCAGTTTTTGTAATCAGATTACAATAACTCGTATTGAAATGTGGATGATGGTGGAATGCAATACCATTGGAGATTTCATTTGGTAAAATGAACAGTGTTAGATACCAACGAGTGTTTTGTGTTCTTCACATCTATCATCATCTACATTTTTATATTGTTGATGGCTACAAGAGTTTTACATTATACAGTTGTAAATTTTGTTTAAATCAGAATCAATTATTTGTTTGTTATTCATTTCAAATGGTTTTGATTATGTAAAGTACATTAAAATGTACTTATAAAATTGCAATTATTTAAATATTTATTTCTTCTTTAAATCTTGCATGAAATTTCAAATAAAATATAAAAAATTATTTTTTATATTTATAAATTATAATTAATTAAATCACAGAATATAAAATTTATTTCTCTAATAATTTTTATATAAAAAATATGTATCATGTAAAATAAAATATATTAAGATGTTTCATTTTTGTGCATAGTGTTATTAGTATATGAATGTTACTTATTTAAATTTTTTTATCTATATTTTAGTTTACAAATAAAAATAAAATATCATTATCATCAAAATAGTATACAAAGTTTCAATTTGGTGTGATTTTCATTTTTAGACGTTAAATTATGAATCAACTTCATGAATATGAACCATATTTAAAGCAATAAAATCCATTAAAATATTTATTTTCAATTATTTATGATCTTATTTAGAATAAATGACATTGAATTGAAAATTAATATTAAATCATTTCATTATATAAAATAACTATATGAAAATAAATATATCATCATAAATATCACAAAGTGGCAAAATGTGCTTTAGTAAGTTCATCACTCATATGCGGTTTTGAATATTTTGATATCATTTTCTTCTCAATATATTAATCTTTCGTTTTTACTAAATTTTTATTAAAACATGAAAAAATCTCAAAATAATTCTTATTAACATAGAAAATATTCATAAAAATTAAAAAATAAAGTTAAAGTGATAAAATGTAATAAAAGACTTTAACTACCACTTTGAGTTTTTAAAAATTTAAAGATTTATTATTTTTAGTATTTCAATCTTTGGATTTGATCAAAAATATATATCAACATAAATGGTTCCAAAAAAAATTTTAAAAAATTAATAATGTAAAATCTTGTTATAAGAATAAACCTTGCAAGATAAATAATATGAAGTGATAAAATATATTGAGCAAGTTAAGCACAAGTGTGATTATCTTATATATGTAATACCAGTTTTTGCTCATTATTCTAACTTTTGATTTTTATTGAAATTGAATTTCAATATGGATCTACTCGTTAGTAATATTATTCAAAATCTATATCATTTAAAAACATGTTCCATAAATTCACATGCGTAACATTTAAAAATATTTTATTCAATTATGGTTGGTTTATAATACATTTTTGCAAGAAAATATAACTAGTATTATGTAATATTCAATCAAAAAATCAAATTTCTCTTCAGCTATTTATGAATATCGAGTATGATTTAAACATTACTTGGTCAAGCATGTTGTGATCACAAAGGGAAACTGAATGTGTGTGTTTCATCCAATTGCTTCACATATGTATCATTTATCATCAATTGCATTCAAGTTGTTTCATTCATATAATAAATAAGTAGATTATCAACAAGTGATCATATCATACTAATAATTGTTATTTGTACATCATTATTTGTTTTAATGAACTTATGTGATATGAAATATTCTTGTATTACATTCGAAAATCCATATTTGAGATTTAAGTTTTTTAAATGAATCCACAATTGATTTTTTTATTTCCGAAAGCATGTAATACTAATAATTTTTTTGAAAAAAAAAGTAAGTGGGAGATTAATTTGCATGAGTATTCATAAGTAAAATGTAATATATGTAAACCTATACGAATATTCATGGTATCTGTTTTGAAAGTATTGGAAGTTTATGTGTATTTTTGCCTAAACTATCTATACTATACTTTCTTATTCTACACTCCCTAGTAGATGATAGAATTGACTCCATGTTTTTTTTTCTTTGTTCATTATTATACCATTGATCTTTCTAATCAGTTTTAATTTCAAAGTTTCATTACGGGCAATCTATTTTCATGTATTTTTCCACCATTAAAAATAATAATTTACAGAAATAAATTAGAAATTGTTATTTTTTTAACTAAGAACTAAAAGGACAAGATGATAATAAATCTCTCTTTTTACAATAATTTATAATATTTTTCCCCAGAAAGATCGAGGTGACATTACATATTACATTTCACTAGAATATCTAATAAGAAAATTACTCTACATCTTATTATATTAGTAAATTACGGAAATTTGTACACAGAAGTGGATATAGAATTCAAATCCATCCTATTTTCAATCTTCCTACGAAAATTAAAAGCCCGAGTCTCAACATTTCATGGACAACAATGATAACATCAAATTAGGAGAGAATAAAGAGACGAATGGAATAAACATCAGAATCCTCTTGGACATGAACTGAAAGTGCTGTACACGTTCCGAACAAGTGTTCAAAGAAAGCCCTCTGCTGTAGAGCAAATTCACTGAAAGGGCCGCTGTTCTTTGTCTGTTAGTTCAGTGAGACAGAGAGACTAAGAACAGTGAGAGAACAACAGTTGCTTGCTGGCCGTGATGGAACAGCAACCGTAAGTGTGTAGATGCTCGGTCTAGCATGTGCATTACCATGCAACAGGACTTACATTCACGAAGAGAATGCAAATATTGTTAGCTCGAGTGATGCACAACTGAAGTTACATTGACTACGTTTTCTTTCCCCGACGGTTTCCGAGGAAGGAACAAAGATCGTCGGACGCTTTGCTCGCTGGCTGGCGGGAAAGCTATGGTCGAATGCCAGACACAATGGGGACAATGCACCTTCTTGTAGAAGTTTAGAAGTGGGGTTTTAGGTGGGCTTTATCTAGGGCTTTCCACTCTCGAAGGAAGGTGAGCGAGGAGGATTGTTCGCTGTGGACATTGAAGCAGCAAGACGCCATGGATCATCCAAGTGAAGACGATGATTCTTTGGATGTTCGTTTGGCTCGATCGTTCGTGCAAGAAGCTAGAATTTTATCTGAATTCGTTTGCCGCGTGAAGGAGGCCAATGGAGAAGTCACTGCGCTCGAATTCAAGAAAATGCAGACAATTGTGAGCACCTGTTTATCATATTTGTCGCATATTCGTGTGATTTCTTGCAATATGAAGCTGCATACTTCTGATTTTCCAGTCATACAGTGGTTATAAAGATCCGGGGAAGTTTTGTTAGTGCCAAGTACGTTAGGAATGGCCTACTTTCGTTTTGTTGGCCTCGATGACGACATTACATTATCGGCCGTTACAGCTTCTGAATCAGAAGATGGTTTACTCTGATCTGAATTGGAGGACTTCTCATTTTTTTTTCAAAATGGGAATTGACAATCAAGTTGGCAACGAACTATCACAAAAAATCACGTTTTTAGTACTTAACAAGTTATCGTGTGTTTCCTACAGAAAATCTGAGTAGTCACGAATTTGCATCATTGGAATCGCATGAATGCATCGGACAGATTGTAGTGATGTCATTTGCTTTTGTTTTATTTTTACCATGGGCATGCAAAACTGGACTGTTGCCATGTCCAAGAGAGAATGAAAAATTGTGAATTTCTCGTTAACTTACAGATAGTGAAGTATCAAGAGCAAGGCCAGCTGTTGGAACCTCATCTGGAGGGCATTATTAGCCCCTTGATGGAAACTCTTCAAAACAGAGTTGTGGAAGCAGGAAATGTGATGGATGTGGATTTAAGCGTGGTGAAAAAGCTATGCAGTATAGTTCACACTCTCATGACAGTATGTGGATACAAGACCGTGGTGAAGTTTTTTCCTCATCAGGCATGTGATCTTGAAGTCACGGTCTCCTTGTTGGAGCGTTGCCATCAAGAGGTATGCGAAGACAAAGAGCTAACAATTTGTTCTCACATCTCTCGTACATAGATTAAGAGCACAAAATCAGCGTCATATAATACGTGAATTTGAACCTCTGGTTTTATACACCTTGAATTTGCATTCTGACAACCATATTTCAAGCGAGAAGAAGCCCGATAAGAAATGATATTCATGCCATCTACTTGAAAGATTCCGAGAGAATGAATGTTTATATGGAGTACAATATGGCGGTTTATGAAAAGTTTTTCCATGCGTACTAAACTGTCCACTTGTTTGGTGGACTGTTATGGAGCAGGTTACAGTCAGTAGTATCTTGAAAGAGGAGAGCACTGGTGACTGGGAGACAAAATGCACCCTACTTCTTTGGCTCTCAATCCTCGTCCTGATACCTTTTGATATGGCATCCGTCGATACAGCCCTTGCAGACTGCTCTGATTCCAGCAGTAGAAGCAATATACCTCCTTTAGTGCAGAAGATAATAAACATTTGCAAAGACTATCTCCAATCCCCAGGCCCAGTTCGTGAAATGTCCGGGGTACTGCTTTCTCGTCTCTTGACCCGTCCAGACATGCGTGCTGCTCTGAAAGAGTAAGTATTTGTATCGACTTTTCATGGATGTCTGCCATTCCCTTTGCATGCAGAATTCCCTCGCTAATGTGCTTTTAAGTGTGACAAGTCTGGTAGCGCAAGGTGACGACAATAGGACATTGCGAACTTAGACAGTATAGTCCCCGTAAATGTGACAACCCTAACGACCCTCACGTTTTGGTTAGAAGAGTTTTTGGCCCCAGATATCTCAGTAGAAGTTTGGTTCTCTTAATGCAATTGTTGAAGAAGAAGGTGATCTTTCAGTTTTCCAGCAACATCAATCTACATGCTACGAAAACGTTTCATAAGCTTCTTTAGGCACGCGGAACGAACTCAGGCACGTCACTAGACAATGTAGTGTCGTAGATCGTTCGGCGTGCTTACTTGGAGTTAAATAGTTAATTGATGATTTACGTTGCACATGGTTGCAATCTGTTTGCGTTTATGCCTTTGTTCTTTTATATCTTGGGCAGTAATATTTGTAAAGCATATTGGCACTTGCTTTTCCTTTTCAGCTTTGTGGAGTGGTCAAGAGAAGCTCTGCGCAGAACAGAGGATGAGGCAATCAAGATATTTCTCATCCCAGGTGTTGTTGGAGTACTTGCAGCCATATACAAGGTATTGAATTCGAGAACTTCTTGTAAATACTTGTAATCCTTACAATAAGTGAGGAAATTATGTTCCATCATGCGTAGCATATTGGATTAGTGTGGATAGTATTGATGGTTATTGTTGCGTTAGCTTTCATAATTAAATCATGCTGATAAAGACATAGGTCAAGGATTTAAGCGTAGTAGTTGGATATGAATTTTCGTAGTAATTGTTGTATGCTTGGAATAATTTAATATTATTGCTCAAAACTTAGGTCGGTGGACGTGATATGTTGCTGGATACAACATTGCCAGTCTGGCAGGTTGCGTCTCAGTTAGCAACTTCTTCAGCTGCAAATCGTAGTCCCTTGCTTCGAAAGCTTCTTATCAAGCTAATGCAGCGAGTTAGCCTTATGCATCTTCCTCCAAGGATTGCCACCTGGCGCTACACGGTAAATGAAATTTTCAAACGCACAACTTCAGATAATCGTTATTTTTTAGTCGGCTCTGTAACATCTAACTGGGGCTTTTTGTATGACTTTGGCTTGTCTTTGCATTTTAAGCAGCTCAGATTACGTTACTTTTCCTGTTCTCATTTTTTGCTCAAATGCAGCACTGGGTTTCAATTCTCTCCGTTTGCTTGCCTTCATGATGGCCTTCATACAATCCGTCTTGTAGGATCTAGTACATTCTCATGGTTTCGTTTTTGCGTATTCGGCGCTAATTTTTGTTTTTCTCTCCTCTCAGCAAAGCAGCCGCTCATTGGCTCAAAACCTTGCTGCACCTACATTGAAAGGTGAAAACTTATTTGAAAGCGATAAAGATTTGAATCATGTGCAACCTTATGGCGAAAATGAGAGCCCAGAAGAAGAAGAACTTGATGTACCTGAAATTATTGAGGAAGTTATTGAACAATTGCTAACTGGTCTTCGAGATAAGGTATGGGGGCCAAATGGTCGCATGGCTTAATTTATGCGCTTCTATGGGCTCATCAGTCGTGTTCTCTTGAGTTCCAGTTCACTGAAACTGCTGTCATTTTACTGCAGAAGAATCTGCTCCTTTGTCTATGATGGCGTATTTGTTTATCCTTTCCTTTTTGCCAGAAATCTGATGGAACTCTGAAATGAGTATACAGTAACATATATATGTTATTTCGACAGGATACAGTTGTACGTTGGTCGGCTGCAAAGGGTGTTGGTCTAGTGACTGGCCGTCTGACCTTAACGTTGGCTGATGAGGTTGTGGGTTCTGTTCTGGAGCTTTTCAGGCCCATAGAGGTCAGCTTTCTGTCATCGGGTTCTCGAGAGTTCTTACTTTACAACAATTAGTAGGACAAGCGTAACCTTTTTGCATCACATGGAAAAGTACGCCGTTTCACTAGGACTTTGCAGTTTGATTGTCCTTGTCATGGAGTTAGCCGTTTCTGGTAGACGTAGACGAGGCTGCAGATATTCAAGTCGTACTTCTAATAATCTTTCATCAAGAGTGTTGGACTATCTCATGGTAATTTTCTGATTGGTTCATTGTAGGTTCTGGTTGATGCAGGGTGATGGAGCATGGCATGGAGGATGTCTAGCACTTGCTGAGCTGGCTCGCAGAGGTCTCTTGTTACCTGCACGACTTTCTGCCGTGGTACCTGTAATTATAAAGGTGATCTTCAACATTCAGTGGTTTGCTCTTTTTGTCTTTTTGGTCGAGTTCCTTCGGTACTTTTCTACATTTGAGCATGATGCTACGATGGAAGTTGTCATTATTTATTTGTCCAAGGAGTTTTTGTCATCTCTACTTCTAGACAATGTAAACTTGTATTGCAAAGTGGAAGATGCCTAGCTAAGTGAATGCTTGTTCGTATCTAGGCTCTTCATTACGACGTACGGAAAGGGCCTCACAGTGTCGGTTCGCACGTAAGAGACGCAGCTGCATACGTTTCGTGGGCGTTTGCAAGGGCTTACTCTTTTGATCTCATGAGGGATCATTTTAAGCAGCTTGCTCCTGCTCTGTTGACTGTCGCTTGCTACGACCGAGAGGTTTGTAAAGAGTTCTGAAGGTTCTTACTTGCCACACCGTGAAAGCTCCTCGTAGCTTTGTCCCTTCAGCTCAAGCATCAGTTGCTTCTTCCTGAACTAAGAAGCAAGTGTGCAGGCTTACCATTTTGTCAAATTTGTTTAGGTGAACTGTAGGAGAGCTGCAGCAGCTGCTTTCCAAGAAGGTGTGGGAAGGCAAGGCGACTTCGAGCATGGTATCGATATAGTCAATGCTGCTGATTATTTCTCCCTTGGAACTCGCTCTCACGCTTACTGTACCGTTGCTGTGTACATTGCTCAATTCGAGGACTATCGGTTATCCTTAATCGACGAGATATTGAACGTCAAGATTTCTCACTGGGTAGGGAGCTCGACTTATAATTCATTGTATGAAGTCTATAACGTTTGCAATTCTACAGTCATATAGTCAATCAGCATCAAAATGCCTAAGCTCGGTTACCCTGAGCCAATTACGATGAAATATAGATTGTCAGTGTGCGCTTATACTGTACTTGCGTATACACAAACGCAAAATCGTTTTTTCTTTCGAGTTCCAACGAGGTGTCGGAGGAAGGACAAAGCCTCTTGTACTTGCTGCTTTTCTTCATCCAGGCGTGCCTAGTTCGATCCAAATATGTAGTCTGCGAGTTTTAAAGCTAATTAGTTTGTGGACATGATGACAGGAAAAGAGTTTGCGAGAACTTGCAGCCGAGGCCCTGTCTTTATTAGTGAAGTATGATCCTCAATATTTTGAGAGTCATGTTCTAGAAACGCTTGTACCATGGACCTTGTCTGGAGATCTTTGTCAGCGTCATGGAGCAACCCTTGGGATAGCTGAAGTAATTCGGGCTCTTCATGATTGCAGTTTTCGACTCACGGCAGGTACAGTCACTTGTCTTGGTCAACACTGAAGTTGAAGCCTTCACAAGAGATTTTCTTTCTTACTGTTAAACAACGTATGCAAACAACTAGCATGTATGCCAAGCAGCATACTAAAGTCTGACCTGATGTAGTCAACATTGACGATGCCCTATAACTTGATGAAGTAAAGTTGATGACTCAATTCTGTTATGTACAGAGACAGAGAAGCGGGTCGCCGGAATTGTGCCAGCAATTGAGAAAGCACGTCTTTATCGTGGCAAAGGTGGTGAAATAATGAGGGCAGCAGTTTCAAGGCTAATAGAATGCACTGCTATTCTTGGAGTTCCCATTCCTCCTAAAATACAGAAGGTCTTGCATGATTCGATTGATGAAAATTTGAAGCACCCGAATGGGGATATACAGGTGAACATTGAATCTTCTTTTCACTTCTTTGCATAGAATCAATCTTTGGTACTGGTGTCGGGCTCCTTCGCACGGAATATTATGCTATTGTGTCTCTGGACATTGATACGAACAATGTTCCAGTATTGCTAGTTGACAGTGGCCGTCCTTCTATGCAGTCTTGCGCCGTGGCAGCCTTAAAAGCGTTTATTAAAGGGTACCTGCTTTCTGAATCTGCACCAACTATTGCTAGAACAACCTCCAAGTACCTGCAAATTTTGAAGGGTGATGCCAATCCTGCAGCTCAACGAGGGGCCGCACTTGCTCTTGGAGCATTGCCCTATTATCTGTTGGAACCTGTGTGGAAGGATGCCGTGGATGTACTTTGTGCTGCAATAAGATTGAAGGTCTTGCCCGGTCTGATCATCTCGACTGTACTTTTGCAAGAATGGTTCTTTAACTAGTTCAGTCGGTTTATGTGAATTCTTATATTGATAGCTCAGCTTCATGCTTAAGAAATCTGTACCTCTCGTATGTTTATCTGTGTATGTCTCAAGCTAGTACCACTATTCCTTGTAGTTCAATTTATTACATTCGCCTATCGTGCTTAAATGTGACTTGGTCCTTGCTGCAGCTTTAAGTTGCAGTTCCGGCTGGTCGACTAACCATTTGCAATTTGAAATTCTGAACTGAGTTTCCGCTGTTATCAGGGTAATCCGGCGGATGATGATGCTGAAACCCGAGTTAATGCTGTTCGTGGGCTGACTTCTGTCTCCGAGACTTTGTGTTACGCTGAGATAAAGCATGTTTGGAAACCTTCAGATAATTGTACCACTCCGCTGAGAGTAGTTAGAGATCAGGTTATGAAGGTTTTGTTTCATGCTCTCGATGACTACGCAATTGATAACAGAGGGGATGTTGGCTCATGGGTCAGAGAGGCTGCCATGGAGGGTATTGAACGATGCACTTATCTGCTCTGTGGCATCCGAGATCCCTCCATTCAAACGTCTGCCCATATGAACGGAAGTGAGAATCTTAGCAATGATGTTATTTTGAGTGAAGCTATGGGATTGCAAGTCGTTGGAGGATTGGCTAAGCAGGCGGTTGAAAAAATTGACCGCGTGAGGGACGTGGCTGGGAGAACTTTGCAGCGTTTATTATTTAACTCCGAAATACCGACTGCTTGCATTCCCCACAAAGAAGAGTTGAGGGAAATTTTTTCAAATGATTTCACTTTGAACTGGGCGGTAAGTCACAGGAAGCTTTTTGCCGAAATTCTTCCTTGCCGCTACCTGACTGTGTAGCTCCGTCTAGAGTTTTGATAGACTGAGCTACACGTAGCTAAGATGTCTTTTTTGATGTGAAAAACAGGCTCCTGCTATTTCTTTTCCAAGACTGGTTCAACTCCTCAAGTTTCCAGGGTTCCGGTCATTTGTCCTTTCAGGGCTCGTTATTGCCATCGGGGGTTTGGCTGACTCCTTGGGGAAAGTATCCGGGAGTGCTCTGGTTGACTTTCTTAACGGTCTGGATCAATCGAAGACTGAGAGCCGTTCTGAGGAAGATTTCTGCAGAAATTTTGACTGGCTTGCAGTGGAACTGGGACGTGTTCTAGTACGCTATGCTGGAAATGACAGAGGAGCAATTCCTACGCTGAAGGTAATGTCCTCAGGTTGTCTGGGGAAACTGGGTAGTTTGACACCATTCTTAGTCTACAGCTTAAGCTTGAGTACTTCTTTGTGTTCAGCACTACTTACTGAAACGCAAACATCTGTTACATGTGTTTTTTATTTAGCTTTCAGAAACTTGACAACGTTCACAGTGGTAAAAGAAGCACACCAGATGGTTTTCGCTCAGACAACTCTCTTCCGGAAAGTGTGATGTATATTTTAGGAGTCAGAGGGAAAGAAGACAATCAAATCCGTCCTGCAACTTTACAGTGGTTGGAACATCTTTTCGTTTCTTTGTGCATGGGTTTCTCCTTTCAGGTTCTGAATCAAATTCCCTTTCACGACAGGGCACTCTTCTCACTGCCTTTCATGTAAATTTGGTTCATTTCTCTCTTTTTTTTTATCTGAAGAACGTAGGTAGAAGATTGTAGTTGAAGTTTCGGAGGAGTCATATTTATAACCGCAAAAAGAGGAACATGGAGATCCACTCCGCTGCTTGCTCTGCTCGCTCACTGATTTTGAGGAAGAAACCTCGGATTCTAATCTTGTTTCATGTAGCACCTTGGACAGACTGAGAGCGACATAAGTAAGAGTACTCGCACAGCTCATGGATCCAGAAACATAAGGGGAGCTTCCAAGCCTCGATTGAAAGCCAGAAGCTGCCCCTTTTTTGAGTCGAATCCCTCTTCACTCTTAGAATAAGCTCTATATTTCTTCACATTCTTATCTATCCCAGCTTACTCGTCCATCCAAGTGAGGGATCAGAATATCGTTCTTTAGGCTTTGACATGGAAATACTGGACATTATCGCTCGTATCTGATATGCAGTTTCCATTACATATATCTGTAACGACTGCCAGTGGGTTATGAACCTGAAGTATTAAACAGTAGGTGAAGTAGAACACTCAATAATCAGTCATTATTATTGGCCAGATATGGTTTTGGATAGTGAAGCCAGAAACCAGTGAATTTGAAGATGCAGAGAGTTTAAGAAGCAGTTAGTTCTTCACAACTTTTCTATAGGTTGCGGAGTTATTCATGCCTATTACACCGAAATATAGACTAATGGGCCTAGTGGTATGTGCTTATACCAATTTTATTAGTGATCTTTCTATCAGAGCACTAACTTATATTTTTATAGTCACAGAGTTAGATAAGCCTCTCATAATTCCGTCTTCTGCTTTGGTGTCTGGCTCTGCACTGGTGTATGCCGAGAAGGTGAAACAAAATCGTCGGACAGAGTTCGAGATGGAACTGTGACGTTTTGTGAACCATTCGTGTAGCCATTTATTAGCACATTGAATCTTGGGTATGACATTTGCTAAAATGCTTAGAAGATTAGGTTGACAGACAAGATGAATGCAGACTTGATGGAAAATGTTCTCATGCTAAACACTAATCTAGGATGATCAAAGTACTAGGAAGCCATTTGTGAGATTTTCAATCAGCAAAGCACATTCGGAGATTTTTGTAGAATTCTTGCTTATTAGCGACCGTCCTTCAAGTACGACAGAATTGATTAATAATGTGGAATTTTTGTGCAGACAATCGATATACTTTTTGGCAGAGGAATATTTTCTGCCTCGAAGGTAATTCCAGAACATTGCATCAATGCAGTTTTGTTTGACTAGGTTCATGCTGGCGTACCAAGAATTCATTTTGTGAGGTACAATTTTCGTGCATGTTTCATGTGTGCCATGCTTGGACGCACTGATGGAGAGCGTTACCGTGATATTCTCATGTCTTTGGTGGACTGCTTGATAATTATTCTTTTATTTGCTTGGATCTCCGGCAGCCACTTAGTGAGCAGACTGCTGTCGACTTGCTGACCTTAATACGACAAGAGCTACGGGGCTGCAAAGATGTGGCCAAGCTCCTCGCTGTAATAAGTATTTTGAGTCACTTCGCATCACTGGAAGGCCTTGTTCGGAGTCAATCCGTTGAACAGCTTCTTAATTTTCTTTTCCACCGGTATCCCAAGGTACGAAGTAAAACACTCCGGCTCTATTCGTGTCTACAATTTCTAGAAGAAGTCTTACAATATTACAACTGACCAGTTAGGCATTGATCTTTTGATGGGCTCGCTTGGAGTATCTAAGAAATTAACCTCCACCCAGCACTACGTCTCTCGCAGTTTATACTGACAAGTATTAAAAGTCCTTGATTTCATTCCTTCTTACTACACAAAGTACAAATGTTGCGTCTAGAGATTCCAACCTAGCGGCTTGCAAATTTTATTTGGGCTTGAACTTCACTTTAGAGGTAACAAGGGTCTACTTGATTTACTTTTCCAGGTACGAAAGGTATGCGCAGAACAGCTTTACCTTTTACTTCTGCAGATGGGTGAGCAACTGGTCGGTGACAGTGCGGAGGCAGCGCTGGAAGTTATTGGCGAAACATGCTGGGATGGACCAATAGATGGTATAACGGCCGATAGAGACCAACTATATGGTCTTTTCCGTGTTGAACCACCTCCACGACAACTGCTTCTACCCTCTAAGAGCAGGAATGCTCGACAATTACTGGCCTCAACATTAAAAGATGAGAATGAGTCGTATTCTGCTCTTGTAGACGCCGCAGGGTACTGAAAAGGACGCGAGCAGGCCGAATATTTAACATATTTTCCTCTTTTACTTTGGGAATCCTCATAGGAAAAAATCGATGTTTATTATTGCTGTCTGGCTGTCGGAACAAAAGAGAGCTACAACAATTGGTGAACTTCTCACTGTGTTGTGAACAAACTCCTGTAGAGGCAGAAAAAATTAGAATTTGACAGCCACTTTTCTGATACAGCTAAACAACTTGAAAGGAACTTTACAGAAACCTAGCTGCAAGGGCTACCGCACTTCGGATGAAATGACTGGAAGAGCCGAACGACTAGATACATATCCAGAAGTTTCTCTATTGGTATCACCTGCTGGCGGTTAATACGGAGGTTAATACGGTTCAGTTACGGAGGTTGACATGTTAGGTCTTAAACCCAGTTCCTCGCACTTGCCTTCAGATCTTTCTATGCAGTCATCGGTAGAGTGGGAAACTTCTCGGACACATCTATGAGAATCGCCTTACCCAATTCCACAGATGAACGGCAACAGGCGTCTTGGGTTCTGGAGTCTTCATACTTTTCTTATTCTGGATGGTGGATTATCGACCATGGTGAGATACTATTCTCTGCAGTGCTTCAATTACCGAACGTGGCCACCTGAAGCCGAACTTCTCACATGAAGCAGTGAGACATTAGGTGGATTTGTTGCTGAGTGGTGAGGAGTAGTTTCGTGTAGGGCAACATTTTACCCTGAATCCATAGAGTAGGGCTTTCAATAAATCATTTGTAAACTACGTGAGGAACGGTTTGGCCTGGAGGTCTGCAATGAAGTGAGTTGAACCATGAAACTTCGGAAGGCAAGAAATAAAATCTGAGTGAGAAAACCTTGTCATTGCAGGGTGCGAAGGCAGAAACTTGTGAAATTTTTTAGAGGCGTACAATCTCATGTGAATAGGTTCCTGTCGGATGTGAATGTGATTGTATGACTCTCACACAGTAGGTCAGTCGGCTGAAATAGAGGTTTTGAGCTTTTGAGCTCTAATTCAAACCAATTCTAATATGACCGATATTAGACTCTCTGATCCCACCCTCCTTGAGGAGCCTCACGAGTAAGTAAAATATTGCTTAGTTGAATATCATGGAACTGGGAAATGACCATAGCTCAAAATCATAGTCTTCTGTTTTCAGTTTGAGGGTTGCAATTAACCTGTTAAAATCACACGCGAAGAGTGCAAACTACAGACGAAGGCGGTCGTTTTTCCGACTCATTGTAAGTCACTCTTCTCCCGTATGGGCTCATTCAGATCTACCTGAATTTTGAACGCGAAGTCACCGAAGGCCCAGTGCAGTCGAAGCACGTTTATACTAGTCGTGTTCTCGCTGAAAACGCCGACCGGAAGCTGAGGATGTCCCTAGAAGAGTGGACCGAATCATTCCGAACGATTCGAAATAGATCAAAATGGAATGGATGGCACACCAAGTGACATAGTAAGATCGCCCGGACTCTTCAAATTCTATGCGATACGGAGAAGTGTCACCCTCTTCCGTATGTTTTGCCACATTCAGGGCCAGAAACGCTAAATGGAAACTCCCCATGCGGACCCAGAGTATGGCCTTCGCTGACAGTCTTGTTGGGAATTAAAATATAGTAACGGCAATGATTTATACGGACAAGTCGCAGTAGAGTAGCAATTAGAGAACACGTGTACTTATGAGGAGGTCGAAGAAAACCGAAGCACTGCATTGAACTAGAAGAAGAGACTGATCCCTCCCATATCAGCAAAGCTCGATATACTGAACCTTCGTGACAATGAGAACAGCCACGGTAATCAGAACGACCATCATCTTCAAACGACATAGCTTTACATAGTGCAACGCAAGGCCACCACGGTCACGCACAGCTTCTTCATAGTTGCAGCATTGTGACCAACATTGCACGACGTCATCCACGTTACTTCAGAATCAAGGTACGCTTAGTTCTAAATCCGCCTGGCCCTCTTGCGCGGCTACAACTTCATTCCAGCGGGCTTTCTGAATGACATGTTTTCAAATTTCAGCTCTCATCGCAACCATCTTTCGGTTTCCATCCCCACACTTTGTTCTGACCTGTGTTGTCCAGGTGCTTTCGAAGTGGTGGAAGATTTGTAGTAGGCGCGTTTCAGGAAGGTAATTAGAAGAAGCTCATCCATCAGACCATCTTCTCAACGAGTTGTCGTTGTTGGTGTCGGGAGGACAGAAATCCTGGGCGACTGGAGTAGAGTGGAGTAGATGGACGCAGGTGCCAGAATATAAATTGAGCTAGAGAGTTGTGGGAGAGGCAAAGATGGGACTGGCAGTGCTGCCCATCCATGCCTACACCTCGGAGATACTGGAAACAGTCGCTAAGAATGCAGTGTGTGTTTTAATTGGAGAAACCGGTTCCGGAAAGACCACGCAGCTGTCTCAAATGTTCCACCAAGCTGGCTACACAAAATCCGGTCGAATTGGTGTGACTCAGCCCCGTCGAGTAGCTGCTGTTTCTGTTGCCCGGTATGTTATCTACCGATTTTTCAAGAATAAGAGAAAACGCTTCACACGTTTGTAATTTGAATTTTCGTTCGACAGAAGGCGTTTTGCCAGCCGAGATCAAAAGTATGCATTATGGATGTCGTGCGAGCCTGTAAGGATCGACCGTATTCACGGATCATTTTTGGTTGATAAGTGCATCTTTATGTTCTATTTGATTGAATGTCCATCTCCTTTAGTGACTCTTAACTGTTCTGCAAGCGCACGGTGTGACAATTTTCAGTATCAATCACGCAGTCTAGAATGAGTGTCACGTCTTCTGGGAGATTGTTCCAGGCGAAGTTCGGGTTACATGATGCAAGTCATTTATGTGGCAACTCGCTTGGGTTGAGAAAGAGCTTCGTTGACAGGTTCTTCTGCCTCGGATGGATTCACACGAGCTCATAATATAAGTGTCTGCATTCTCAGGAGAGTTGCCTTTGAAATGGGCGTACAGGTGGGCGAAGACGTCGGATACTCCATACGATTCGAAGATAGAACATCCTCCAAGACAGCAATCAAGTGAGTAGCAAAACTTCTTGATCTCTTCAAGCGCTTCTTCCTATCATCGCCGAGATCAGTTTGAATAAAGAATCGGGTAAGCTGCAATCTGGCAGGGTTTAGAAACTGCTGACCAAGTTATAGATAAAGACAAGTCAGCATTCAGTTGAATTACATCGGTTGAAACGTCTATCAAGAACTTTGTTCGTGCATCCGCTGAAGAAGATCATGCGCCGCGTTCGGAGAAAGTGCTTACAGAAATTCTCAAAGGCTAAGGGTCTAGTCTGAATTTAGCAGCAGCCTAACCAGGAATACATTACGTCAGACAAGCACCTGTCTGGATCAAGAAGTGTCTCAACGGAAGGGTAGCAATCGTTTGTTTTAATCAGCTCTTAACCTGGGTATGTACGTGTTTCAATGTCTGTAGGTATCTTACTGACGGTTGTCTCCTTCGAGAATGTCTGTTTGATCCAGAGCTCCACCAGTATTCAGTCATCATATTGGATGAAGCACATGAGAGGAGTTTAAACACGTAAATCTTCATCTCTTCGACATCTTCATGTTGGTGCTTGGAATTGGAGTGATAAACGCTGTTTGCATTTGTTACTTATAACATTGTTGTGGTCTCTGAAGAATCGATATGAATTCTTGCCAACTGCTTCATGTCTATAGTGTACAAGGTTTTATCGTTGAGGCTGTGGGCCGTGTTTCCATTGTCGGATAATCCGGCCCTGGAACCCATTAATGATGGATCTAGTAAGAGTATTATTGTACTAGAGGTTGTTGATTCTTTGTATGAATTTTGCAGGGACATTTTGCTTGGTCTTCTGAGACGACTTGTTTCTAAACGTAAGCCGGAACTGAAGGTTGTCATTACGTCTGCCACACTTGATGGGGAGAAAATGTCCGATTTTTTTTTCAAATGTCCCATTGTAAGAGTTCCTGGGAAGCTGTATCCCGTACAGATACTTTATAGCAAAGAGCGGCCGGTCAGCTACCTCGATGGTGCAGTTCAGACGGCACTTGGTGAGATACTGCGGTTGTGTAAAAAGTTTGAAAGGCTACCTTTTCAGGTTGAACATAGCTCAGAAGTACATGTAGGACAGTTATTTGGTTCAGGTCAATCTTCTTTGCACCACAGAGAACGTGGGCCACGTCAATTTTGTCAGTCTCTTATACTCCAGTCATGGAAGCTTTTACTCTACGTTTTTGCATGGTGAAGACCTGGACAATATTTCCCCGAAGTCTATGTTAACATGTCTGGTTTGTATCATTTGTATTTGGACTTTCGACTTTCTATCGTGATCGGTCGGAAGTTTTCAAACTTACCTTCCGGACTGGGATCACTGCAGATATACATGTATCTGAGCCACCTGGAGACATTTTGCTGTTTATGACAGGACAGGTGTGTTATTTAATTGTGGAATGGACAGCTAGTACTTTTCATGACATTCTGAAGTACTTGTCTCCATTGGTGTCAGTAATTCTTGTGTTGAGATTTTTAGATATGCATCTGCACCTTCTTAACGCTCCGAAAATACACGTTCTTCTAACCTCCGATTGTGCTGTGGTAGAGCAGGATGAAATTGAGAAGGCGATTGCAAAACTAGAAGAAGAAGTGCAAAGCCTCGATGAAGGTTCTTGTATGGATGTTGTCATATTACCTCTGTACGGTTCCCTACCGCCAGAAATGCAGGCAAGTGTTTTCCTCTTTGTCAAAGTACACAAATTGAAATAGCCAGGTCCGTTCCTGGGAAATTGTTACAAAATTGCATGGCATTTTGCAGGCCAACCTGTGTTGAACTTAGTAGGCTGAATTTTTTTTACTTGAAATACCAAAATCACATGTGCCTAAATTTTCATCATGTAGTCATTTTCGAAATGTCTCGGTGTTTTCGGAGATCTGCTTGCACAGTGTCTGGCCTGAGAAGTTGTCACCTGTTAATAGTATTGCATCACCTCTTAGGCTTGCACTCGCATGAAGGGTTTGTTCTGTAATTTCCTCCTCAGCACTTATCACTACCATAGAAATTGGAATAAGAATGTCAATCTCCGCTGTTTTCATGTTGTAACGTTCAAGAAGCGATATCTGATTTGTGTAGGTTGTTCCAGGCCAGGGTATTTGGACAACCGCCAGATAATTGCAGACGAATCATTGTCGCAACAAACATTGCAGAAACATCTCTCACAGTGGATGGTGTCGTGTAAGCAATCTGTTATGCAGAGCAGTGAATTTTATGATTAGTGTTCTGTTTACGATCTTGTAGGTTGTTGTTCTATCCAGTTTCTTGCAGACTCCATAATCCTCCCGGGAATAGCCAGTATGTCTGCATAGTTTTCCAGATGTATCACCGTTCAGCCAAGACTGTTATTTAGAGCAGTGAATTTTATGAAATCATCGGTCTCAGGTTTTGTCAGGCACATTTTATCAAGTACAGTTGACTTTAGCATACTTCCTGGTACAAACCCAAATCTTAGCAGATTGCCATAAGAGTAGATCGAGAAAAGAATACACATTGATACAATACCTTGTAAGTCTTTTCACTCGCAGAAAGCATGAACCAGTTGCAGAATGTGAAGACTTTGTCGATCGCATGAAAGTCAAGAGGATTAGCGTGCCTGACTTTTTAACTGATTGCACGCTTTAGAACTGCCGGGAGCCGGTAGTTTACGCAGATGTTCCTGGTGTCTGCGATTCTTTGAAAGAACCTCGTCTTTCTACTTTAACTCACTGACAGTTCTACACTGACTGGTTTCTAATTGGAATTTAGCGATAAGTTTCGGAATAATTTAGAATTTTTTTAGCTACAAACAGACATTCTTACTCTTCGTTCAGAGGCTGTCAAGACCCCAACACTACCAATTTCAGTGCGTTTTCCTCCACCAACATAGACTGGGCTAATCATAGCAGACTTCGACAGTCTTCTTCTGTTATAAATCTGATATTATTACATGACCTAGAACGGCAAGACTTAATTGTTTCGGAGTCTACCGATGATCTAAACCAATCAGACAACCTTTGATTTTCAGCTAATTTTTCCTGGCTTGAACACAGGTATGTAATTGATCCAGGGCTAGTGAAGCAACGCCAGTACAACCCTGCCTCGGGAATGGATTCTCTTGCAGTAGTTCCGATTAGCAGGTAAGTCCATGGATAATGGAAGTGCAAGTGCATCTGTCCAAAAAAAATTGTTCATTTTTTTCAGGGTAACACCACCAGGAGAGTCTTGATGATAATCCTCTCATTGTAGAGTTGAAGCTATTGTGTGAATAAATGTCAGAAACATAGCAGTAACTCCGTTACAGTAACAATTAAATTAGATTAACAGTGAGTTACATACTTTCGGTTTAGGGTTTAGGGTTACTTTTGTGGCCAATCAGTCATTAGCCACAATAGTTTAAGGTTTTGGATCTGTGTCAGGTTTAGTTCTGAGACTGAGAACTAGTATTTAACGTATAATGTTCCTAAAGCAATCAAGTCAGACAATCACTTTGCTACTGATCATATTTTATGAAGTGTTGGATTGTGTGGAGTGGTTGACGTTAGTACTATTGTAGAAATTCAAGTTCGTATTGGTCACATTTCTGAGAGTGAGTGGTATTCTATTTTAGTCTCATTTTAGTAAATTACTCCTCCAAACAGAAGAAGAGGGTAAAAGTGAATGGCAATCAGTAATGAGAAGTGGAAGAGAGTCTTCAAGATGTAGGATGTGGGGCTCTAACGTTTAGAACATCCGAGTGATAGTGTAAATCACTTCTACATTATGTCTCAATCACAACAGGGTTAGAGATGTTAATAGGGGTTGAGATATCGATGGAGTTGAGAAACTGAACACTCTCGATTACAGAAGATGATACTGGAACATGAAAGAGATTCTCAAGTTTTATGGATATTATAAATACTTCAGTTTTGGCTGGACGCTGTAGGATCTTGAAAACCGCATTACTTCCAGTAATTATGTAAATTGAGAATCTAATCCATTTTCAAGGACTATCTTCTTGACGTAAGAGTGTTGAGCTTCTCAAATCTGTCCTTATTTAGTCGAATGTGAGCCGAAAACCTTTTGATGATCAAATTGATATTGTGAACCCTATCCATATGCCTAACTATTGTGATTTCAACCTTTGGAAAATCAAAATGATAATGTGGATCACCTCGAAATTATGCCTGAAAATGAAAATGATATTGTGAATCGCTTCTAGATAATGTATCCGTCACGATAAGTCTTGAATATATTGTCCACTTGCTCTCACTAGCTATTATTCAGCCTTACACCGAGTTATGCTATGGGAAGTAGTAAACAAATATCAGAATTTATAGATCTTTACGATAATCCCACTGTAATTCATAATTTGTTTATGAGGGATGTGCATGTCTGAATGTAAAGATTCGCCCCTAGATCAGAAAGTCACTCTGAGTCTCGTTGCTCTGCCTTTCATTGTAGAGTTCAAGCTATACAACGAGCTGGTAGAGCGGGACGAACACGCCCAGGAAGATGTTATCGGCTGTACCCTGAAGCTGCATATGAGCACGAATTGCTTGCGGCCACTGTTCCAGAGATTCAGCGCTCATCCTTAGCAGGGACAGTGTTGCACTTGAAATCTCTAGAGCTCCCGGATATAGATATCCTCGACTTCGACTTCTTGGATCAACCTTCTCGTAAATCCCCATGTTGATTAAGCAAATATCCTTATATTTCTGCCATTGTCTTCTGAAAGAATTCATGGTCCCTTAACTAAGTAAAGCGTCCAGCAGGCTAAGACCTCGCTTTTGATGTTTTGACTGTTCAATTTGCATCTGATATAAGGTCGATATATTTCTTGGTTGTCTAAGTTAATCCGGTGTGATAGCGAACCGATAACAGGTATAGATTCATGTCTAGGCCGGAAGTTTCATTGCACTGATATTTTAATCTTCCTCTTCTGGTACAGTGGAATTGCTGGAAGACGCTCTGAGCCAGCTGTACATAGTTGATGCCATTGATAAATCGGGGTCCATAACAGCGCTTGGAAAACGGATGGCTGGTATGCGCTTAGCTGGAGTGGATTTCCATCTTTTGAATTAGCGAACACCATTTAGAGATGTTCTTGAAATATCAACGAGAATACACTGAAAAATCTAAAAATGGGTTGCCGAACCCCTGCTCGTGTGCATCTTGGTTTGTTGTGTGCAGAGCTTCCTCTTGAACCAGCTCTTGCTCGTGCATTGATTGCCGCAGAGGAGCTTGATTGTCTTGGCCAGGCTCTGACCGTTGCAGCTGTGCTCTCCTGCGAATCTATATTCTATAATGCGCCACGGTAATCCATGTCTTCAGCTATTGTAGCTTATCGAAGAGTTATCGTTTTCTGTCGAGTACAATCTGCTATAAACGGCCACCAGAACGGTTGCTATAACTTTATTTTGTATCAGTATGATGTACGAAGGGGCACATCTCATATGCTCTCATGGGAAGGCTTCTCTACGCACCTCGATTGCTTCTCTTTGTTATCCATTTGAATACTTATGAAGCTGTATTTGCAGGCAGGGTAAAGAGAAGAAACGAGCCCGTGAACACGGGAGCTTACCAAATGGTCGTGGACTCGGAGATCATATTCAATACTTGCAAATATACGATGCATGGGAAAAAAATAATTTTGATTTGGAGTGGTGTAAAGAAAATGGATTGCAGGTAACTATTGCTATCAATATTAGTACAATGCAGGTACTATTCAGAAGTTGCCGCATACAGCGTGATTATCACTGGTGTTAGACACAGATTACCAAAAGACTTCGAGGTCCTTCGTTAGTTAGTGTTGTAAGTGAGAATTAATCTTCTCTTCTGGCCGGCTTTGACAATGCGCAGATAAGAGCTATGAAATTTGCCCGAGATGTTAGGCGACAACTTGGTCAAATTATGCTGAGAAAGAAGAGAGGTATTCCTTCTCTTGATTATTTCTTCCACGGTTCTGTCGTTACAGCGAAGTTCGTGCATTGCTCACCACATTATACGTTAATGTCTATTCCAGATGGCGAGCCAGAAAAAAGAGAATCAAGGAGTCTTAGAAAGGTGGGTAGCGCTCGTGCTCTTCGTCAAGCTCTGTGCAAGGGCTTCGGGAATCGGCTTGCGCACCGATTGCCACATCACAATGGCTACCGCTGTATAGGACACAAGTCACAGCTTGTTCAGGTAACTGTGGATAGTCAACTTACTTCAGCTTTGCTCTGATTCTCTTCAGATGTGGATTTATTGAAGGCGCGTTTGAGTTCAGTTGTGTGTACTATATGGGCTTATGATACCAGACTGAGTAAATTGCGCGCTATTTCCAAACTGAGGTGTAGAACTGGGAAATTTCAGATTCATCCATCAGCTTGTCCTCTCGAAGTTGACGAGGAGGGTTTGTTTCCAGAATGGGTTCTTTATCATGAACTTATATCAACAACTCATCCTTTTATAAGGCATGTCTGTATGGTCGAGGGCTCATGGGTGGAACCACTCTTGAAAAAGATGGACAACATGGACATACGAGGTCTCAGGTAAGGTTCTCTTCAGGATTCTGACTTCGAGGAAATGTGAATGCATGGAATTTGGCAGTATTCGGGACCAGTTGTTTCAGTTTGACTGCTGAGGCGTTGGATGCTGTAGGATCTCATCAGTAATTGCAGTGTGGTAACAGAGCTGACCCCATATAAAGTACACCGTTAAAAAGTAATTTACACTGAATCATCATCCAACACATCGCACCAAGTAGAGCATATTGTATTGAAGATCACAAGAAAGAAGAATTACTCACACGATCGAAATATGTTTCTTAGAGGTGCGGTCTTTTTGTTGTCTCGTCAATAATGAACATGTTTCTAAGATTTTTCACTAATTCAACAACTCACCCTAAGTAGTTGGTCTTTGAGACTAGCTGTACTCATCTCATTTGCCTACCATGACCTGAAGACCGTAGAAAATAGCGCTGGACTCTAGCTGGGATAGTGCCAGTGATAAAGGAAAATGAAGAAGAATAATACGCAGGAAGGATAAGGAAGAGCAAGAGACGACTGTTGGAGAGTGAAGAAGGTCATTCTTATAGAGGATCATATGAGGGCATGCAGTGAAGCAGAACATATGAGCTTAGCGATGTCTTGCGAACTTCAAGGGATACAACTTCACAATTTGACCTTACACTAATCCTAGCCGTGCGTGAGGCTCTCAGCTCTACTGCTCTCCACCATCTCTGTGACTAGTATATAAGTATGAAATAGTGCAGCTCTATACCCAAACGTGGGTTGTGTAGTGTAAAGAGCACTGACTGTTTGCTCCATTGGTGATATTCAAGGGACGTAGTAATACCAGCAATCTGTTTGTGGCTCTTACCAGTGACTTATTGTACATAGGATTCCCACAAGCAGTCTCCCGATTCCAAGGTACATACAATGAAAGCTCATGGCGTATCACTTCATTTCCTCTAGTCCCCTGTTGGACTTGCTCTTCAGTTTGCCCATTGATATCAAAGACAATATTTTTGCACATTCCCCTCCACATCCCAAATTTAACTGGACAGTTCGATATGACAAATTAGTCATTGAAATAATTTCTAATCCCCGTTTCATCCAGAAATTTCCTGATAAGGTTTGCTAATAATTTCCGCAGAAATTATCAGCAAACACCAGCCCTGTTATACTTGAAATCTCCATGCCAATGCCCATACCACTAAATTCCACCCTTATAGTGGCCCCCCTCCACAATCCATGAAGATATTTGTGGAGGAGGTCCAGTTCTGAGCAACTCTTTGGTCAGTAGAAAGGCTCACTCCAGCGAATACCGTGATTTCGATATGTGATATACCTGCTACATATTTTTAGTTTTTATATTGATATTCAGAAATATCTTGCAGCGAAACTTGATAAGGCAGAAAAGTAGCGGTTTCACTAGCACTAGAGGCAACCTCAAGTGTGCCAATCGTGGGTTATACAAGGTTCAATAGACACTAATTGCAGAAAAAAACATGGTTTCACTCTTTTTCCTCCCGAAAAATAGAGGTATAGAGTGTTTACAGACTTTAGCCATCCTTATCCCTTAACCCTAATGTGGATGAAGGCTAACACAAACGAGTTTGGTATTATTTATATCTTCGAGCACATTCTACCTGTAGTGTGTTCATTTTGATCTTGGTTTGTATAGGTGATCTCTATATTGGAAAAACCCAGAGCCATCACCCTCCCTCTTGTGAAGTTGGATTCACCGGCCTTCCTCTGCAGCTTACAGCATGGGGTTATTCCTTTCGTAAGAAGCGGGCTCAAATGGGCTCCCTAACGTTTAGAAGCAACCGTCCTTCACAAATTGGGTAGTGTCCCTGCTTGGATACTGTTAAATACTGTTTCCCTGTTCCCCTTTATATGTTTCCAGATCTCAAAGTAGTGATCACCAACGTTGCAAACCAACTCTCTCCTAGCTTTTTTCTTGTCAATTGAGATATTTGTACTCCTGACATGTCAGGAGACCTGGTGAGTTCCAGCACTTTGTATACGACAAGACCGAACGTCATAGTTCTCATATTTGATGCTGGCCTCCTTGCTTGTTTCTTGTTCAAAATCTGTTGCGATGCTGTTGGGCTCTGGATATCTGACTAATGTTAATGCTTCTCGGATAGCGAATTGAGTTTCGAGAGGCGACACACCTTGCTTCCAATTGCGAAAGGAGGTGTAGCGTGCACCTACTTACTTTTGGCGTGCATATAAAGATAAATAAGGATAAATTTGCCCAATTATTAGTACACATACATGAAAATATTTAATATATTCTACAAACCTATATGAACCTTAAAGAAGGTTAAAGGTAAACATACACTAATACCCTAGGTATGGGTCTTAGTGTGAGTTAGGCTTCACTACCGGCTTCGATCTTCACCAACTGTGGTTCATCTGTAGATTGGAAGACTATAAATGGGAATAGAGCTGATTCACGAATATCATATGGGAGCATGGAAGCCCATGCGCGAAGTTGTAGTGATTTGATCGTCGGTGGTCAACTTTACGAACATAATCAACAGTGGACTTGCGGTCCTTCTCGTGTTTCGTCCTAAACTCACCCAGGAGTTCATTTTTCAAAAGACTGTATGTGGGGACTTCTACCCAGAAAGTAGCTGAGAAAGCGAACAAGCAGATCAGTAGGATTTAACAAGTTCTTCCAGAGCTGGAAGCTGTACAGCTGAAATCATTTTGTTTATTGGCACCCACCCGTACCATTTGCTACCCTGTTTGGCTCACCAGGTTTTTTCGTCGATACTTTGTAATCACGGTCTCATCACCTAAGGAGATGCAGTACACTTCAGAAGAGCGCTCTTCTCTCATTTAGTCTTCTCTCAGTTTCCTTCATATATTTTTTCTTTACCCTAAATCCTTACTGTCTTTATACTAATACCCCTTAGCCAGGACGCGGGATCTGTGGTCTTCATGCTATGACGGGCACATACTAATAAGGATAGTACTAATAAATGTTAATTTTCATTAAACGTAAATGAACAATTGTATTAGTGCATAGTGCAATTCAGTAGGTGAGAATCGTTGAAGCTATATCTACATGCCTAATTGGATAGAGGATAGGAGAAATTTTTGAATAATGACAAAAGTACTGAATCTTCGATGAATATGAAAGATATAATGTACCGTTGTTCCTATTTTTTTATAATTATAGACATCGCAGTTACTTACCTCTCGGTACAAAGTGCATGTAAACGTATGTCTTACCTTGTTTGTAAGTTACTCGTTTTCTTGGAACAATTTGTTCTTATTTGTTCCTTACTACATGGTGGATTGTCTTTTCCCTTGTCAGTGGACGGAAAACGTCAATTGTTCCAGAGAAAAGATTAGAAGATGATAAGGCAATGGTCATGGCCCGGACGGGATCTCAGCAAGTACTTTCCAGTACATTAGTTGACGCTGCACGTGAACGATTTCTTGCTCGTAAGCAGTCTAAAGCTAACAAATAGAATACAATGTTCTCGAGACTACATTGTAACCTACCTCTCATTTTGATAGATGACAATTTCTGTTATTCCGGGTAACTGGTAGTGGAATATTTCAGTTGACAGGAGGATTATGGATTATTGATCAGATATTATCTATCTCTTCAAAGCTCAAAATAAAGTGAAATGTACATTGTTGTGCGAGTGAGGAGTTTCATTGAGAAGATTCGAAAGTTTCAAGAGTCATGGTCATCATGAAATAAGATACTTAATAAAACTCAATGTTTATTAAATACCAATGTTTCATGGCTAGCCAAGCCAATAGTTGTCAAATGCAAGTACAATCATTAAAAATTGCTACAACATGAGCTCAGACATCTACTGTAGGTCGTCCGAAAGGTACTCGCAACAGCTCGGACCAGAAATGTGTATATGATATCTCTCCATAACTTGTGTTTAACACAGATAAACATATGTTAAATATGACATACTTCGCATTATGTGAAAAATCTATGTCACGATATAATGCAGGAAGTTATGTGACCAGAAATGCGATATCACATTCACCAACATGATATTTCCGATGGTCAGGTATCTATTCACAGTATGCTATGTAGTCTTAGCTTTTGATATATCAATTCGGCATGCATTATCGACTGAGAAACAGTATTTCGGAACACGCACGCGATAGAAAACTTCCAAACAAGTGCATCGGTCAAAACACAAGCGATTGATTTGGAATGAACACCTAATGTAAACAGCAGTGCTTAGAAAGTCCTCGTTACTCCGGTTTACTCAAAGCGTTTGCAACTAGGCGGAGTTTGGGACGTACGACGATCAGTGACAAGTTTTTCTCATAGTTTTGAGTTGTTTCCAGTCCTTTTGGCCCTTTTTCCGAAATGGGGCAGATTGTGTAAGATATTTTCATTGTCCAAGAGGGAAGCTTTTGAAACTCCTGTGTTAGCATTCTGTGTGGATAATTATTAATATCAAGTTGCAGTTTTCGTAGCATGTTCCCATGCAAATTCTTAGGCGTCGTTGCGCTAGTGCAAGTTTTGTGTAACGAATTTTCTTCATTTGTTCTACTTTCAATTTGTGCAGCATTACCCCAAGAACGAAAGAAATCAGAGGAGGAATCAGTGGCCATGAATATGCAGGCTTGACTTGAAGTTCCTGAAGAATATAATGAACACCAATAAACAAGCAGGAAATAACGTGAACTGGTACACTGCTAATCACAGACGAGGACTAATTTTATCAGTGTGTCACAGCAGCTACAGGTCCCGTATATATCTGCTTGAATGTCATCAAACCTTGCAAAGTCTCAAGACTTTCAACCTGCAGATCTCAAAGATCTTTGTCTACGATGATGTACCGACATAATCTATCCAGGTAGATGGTAAATCGTCAACGTGTGACTGGCGAAGAATAGCCATTGAACAATGTCCGGGTACGAGCATGGGGCATATTGGTCTCTATCAGTATAACCAGAACACGTGTGGGCCTCTGGTGGTGCCTATAACAGGGATTGATTATAAATTTGGTTTTTTGTGTATTGAGAGAGAATCATCACCGAGACAATGCGATCCCAGGATTTGACCCCGGGAGCCTTATTGAATTCTGAAGCTCGTGTCTGAGCTTTCAATATCGTCACAATCTTTAACGTTCCATCTTGAGAATCTCACGACTGATTCACGCTTTGACTCTTTCTGTGCAATGTGATGATGAAACCAGGTTGCTGATTATGAGATACCTGATGGGAGGACTATTTGCCGCAATCAGAAGGTTTGCAGACGTCTTTGCACTTTTAACTTTTCCATGGCAGTTGGAAGACTTAGGAAGTTGAGAGATTCACCTAATTGACTGAATGCTAACACATCGCGAGGCTTACTTCTGGCGAAAGTAAACAAGGGAAAGAATATCAAAGTATCTATGTCGTAGTCGAACGCATGCCTGCAGCTGCAACTTCTGAAAGTATAGATGCATGCATTTATATCTTCAAAAAATGAATTACTGTTATTAGCTACAAATAAAGTGGTATCCGCATGAGATTACTGTACTTCATTATGGTTATGGAGTAGATGAATAAGTAGCACATTCTATAGGTCTGTCCTGTCCAGGCCACGAAGTTCTTCTCTTTCATAAGTATTAACTCACTGCTCATCGCTAGGACATTAAGGTCGGAGCCTACAGGAAATATTTCGCACTTTTTAGAATGAGGAGGATCACACCCCAAAACTAACCTTTCAGCATCGGGAAAACAGCCAATGAACATGTCACCAAAAGTACAATTTCGTGATTAAAGCAAAATTTTAGGATTAATTTGTTATCCAGACGACATATTTCCTGGTTTCCGTGCTAACATAATCCCGAGGTAAATTGCACACTCAAGCACCTTGCTATACGTGCGCTTTGATGTGATCAAGTTCTTGCAGCTTTCAGAGCACGCCCCCCATTGTTGCAAGAATGTTGACCGGTAGTACTTGCATGTTTAGGGTACACTAATGAAATTTACTCACTCTCCATTGCAATAAAAAGGTTTTTTGTAGGACACGCTCATTTCCTATCACGTGGATGGCTGATCCGTACGTTGGAATCTGTGGGTTCTTGTTGGCGCAGTTTAGTTTACAAGAGTAAATGGGGAAGTTTTTCCTAATTGTGGCAAAGGGATATTAAAAGCTTTCATGCATACTAGACTGGATAAATGAACTACAAATTCCTGCTCACCGAAATGAAACCTTCTTGTGGTTGCGGGAAGTTTTGGAGAGATGTCGTGAGATCCCAACTATGACTCTACCAAACTAGCTTTTGAAACGTGTAAAAATTACACTGTTTAAATATCTCAAATCTGTGATAACATATCCCCATCACGTACTCAAATAATAATAATAATAATAATAATAATCTCAGCAAGCGATGCAAGTGAACATCTCCCTCGTCGAGACACGTTCTTGGCCCAGAGTGCTGGGAAGAGCAAAATGATCGAAAACCCAGGGCTACGTAAGGATTTATGTTGTAGAACATGCAGTCCTTCGGAAAGCCTCAGCAGAAAGGTAGTCTAGAGGTAGCGGACTGCAGTCCTAGCATAAAACCCAATTCCGTTGGGCATGACCTACGCTTTTGCTCTCGATGTCATGTGAATGTGTACGGCAGTAAGGCGGGGGGAGATTACAGAGCAAACGAGAGAATGATAGGAGAATCTTCTGGTCCAGCAGTCCTTGACAGCCTTGGTCCGCAGGGAAGCGTTGGCTTTACCTGGTCCTCGGCCAGCAGAGAGGATAATATGACAGGGCCGTAAACGGTATTGTGCACAAAAAACAAGTGCGGGGGAATGTAAAACACCTGCAGTACTTGAGTTTGTTTGTTTGTTTAGCTGAAGGGATCAGTCTGCACCATGCCCTGGAAAATAGCAAGCAAAATCCAACAATTTGTTGCACGAGTGTTGGCGAGTAAACAAATAGTTTCGCCGACGATCTGAGCCTGAAGACGTCTTGACAAGCTCTTGGTGACCGAGTGCATGTATCTTCATGGAGGTTTTGGCTTTAGAGATTCTGTCACAGTGGCAGGCAGGCAAGGCAGGGCGGGGCAGGGAAGGGCAAGGAGCCGCCTCCAGATTGTTCGCCCGGAAGGGGGAAAAGGTGTCTGGGAATGGTAGTAATGCGTGAACAACGACAGCAGCGGAGAGGAGTTCGTTCCAGCAGTAAAGTCAGTCTCCGGTTTCCTGAATGCCATGCCAGCATGATCTCAAGATCTGTTGCACGGGAGTTGTTAAGGAGTAAAGGTACTGCTTTTGACTGTATACTATCTTCTCAAAACCCCCCCGTTTATTCGAGCATCCCAAAATCTGTTGTTGCACGAGACTTGGCGAGAGGCAACCTTCTTACTTTTTGAAGGTACAGTCTTATCAAAATCTCGCAGCCTATTCGAGCACAGAGGACGATGATGCGCTCTTATCTCAGTATTTGTCATCTTGTGTAGTTCCACAACCGTCACTGTAGTGCTTTGTCATCTTCGGTGCATTTACAATGTCCCGCGATTAAAAGAAACTTATTTTGGGTGGACGCAACACCAATGGTGATTCCTCGGTTCAAGAAAGCATAAACGGAACAACAAAGGAACAGGTTCCGAGAGAATGTGGGTCCCTTTCTGATCTCGTTCTCGATTCCATTCATGCTTCAAGTATCATGATGATGTCTTATGCTGCTACTACACACATATTTCTGGAGTGCAGGCTTTTTGTGCATGTAAATCTTTCTCCTCTCTTTGGGAATGTGCCTTTGACTGATCATCGTCTTATCTACAGCTCCCCCATCATAAACATGCATTTTATTCAATAGATTGCCCAGCAGCAGTTATGCAGGCTTCAACTATTTTGTGATTATATATGCTTATGTGAAGGAGGCGCTCGGACGACTTACCTAGGTGGTGAACGACTTGGCTTAGATTCCACTTCCTATTGATGAGCCACGTTTCTGTACACGGAGTTCGGATAAGTAATATTATATCCTCTTCGGCGTCTTCTTCATCTCCATCTCCGTTGGTGCAACATTGTGTACCGCATGCGGGAGTAATCATGGCCTTGTCTGGTAGAGGCCGAAGCTTGGTCCTTTTGTCTGCTACTGGAAAATGGGTTCTCGCGCACTTTTAGGTTTATTCGCTCCGTCATGAAAGCGATCCGATCCCCAGCAATGATGTGGATGATGCCGCTACTACTCCTCTCCGAAGATGAAGATGGGTGCACGCTGTAACCCGTCCCTCTCGAGCGAGTCTCGATTGTGCGTGTGCCCGGACTTCCCGAGATGTTGTTACTCATCCAGGCCAGCCAGGTAGCGACTCCATCTAATTTCACCATCGAACCCAGCGGTTGAAACCTGCGGAGCTCTTCATCTTTTCAGTCTTCAAAACAAAACACAACCAGACGAAGACGAAGAAATTCGCGCAGCAGAACGATTGGGTGGTGAGATCATGTAGCTGGTCATCTTCCTTGAGGATATACCACTTTTGGCCTCATCCAGCAAAAGTATCTATGGAACTTCTTTCGGCCACCCTTTCCGAAACACAGGTCTCGAGAATCCCTGCTTCTCGTCACCACGTTTTTGTTGTTTCAATACGAGGCGAAGGCGCGAGGGCGAGCGAGGGCGAGCGAGGGCTCGATCGATCGATCGAACGACCAATTGATTGAAGGTGCGAGCCAAGCGACGAGGCCCACCGCCAGAGAACTGTTGCGATGGAGGATCACAGAAGCCCCTCGTCGTACGCACTTCTTCTCGTCTCGCCTCCTTGACTTTGTCTCATGTGCCCTCGAGTCAACCGTCCGTCCTTTGTAGTTTCCTCTTTCGCGACCCCGAAGTGACATCGAGAGCCACTTTTGCATGTTCTGCTTTGGTCTCCAATTGCTTCTTCCTGTGCGGACCTTTAGTTTGGAAATTTCTAAATTATCATTCTAGCTATTTCCAAAAAAATTCGAGTATTTACCCAAAAAGAGATAAAGTCTCACAGGTTTATAACTTTTCATAATTTATCATTAAGCCTTTTTTATGATAGTCTAAATAATGATGGTGAGTCAATCCGCGAAATACGACAAAGGCATAAAGTTCAAAGTTTCATTCTAATAATTTTATTCATTGCTCTTTTCTGTTGTTGATCAAATTCAGTTATGAAAGAGAGCTTTTCACTTTGACACTTTTAGTTATGTACCCCTTATTTGATGTTTTCTTTCATCAACTTTGTTACGTCTCCCTCATTTTTCTCGGATATTGTTAATGTCCTCTGGTGCTTGATTCTCTTTCGATGTAGTGAGATAGAAATCGACATATATAGCGACCATAGATGGTCATCGCATGAATGTCATATTCCATAGGCTTGTTGATGCCCATGTTAAGTAACCTCTTGTCCTATACAAAATTTGCAAAAGAATAATACATTATAAAAGTTCAGGATATGGCGTCACTAAGATACATTATTTTATTGTGTTTTTGAGATCAAGGGTTTTATTTTATTATAAAAACTCTACCCATGTACTTGGGAGTTTTGGTAAAAACCCTGCAACCTTCGAGGTTTTATTACATCTGTTTATATAGTCACGAGGACGGTTATTCCTGAACATTCTAGAGCAAATCCAAGTTCTGGACGGCCAGCGCCAAATGTAGCGGTGACTTTAGGCACAAGAGGCCAAAAGAGACAAACAAGGACATGTCACTAAAGACCTTCATTCCTGAAGAGACGAGACTGACATGTATGCTTCAAGACTACATAGAGGGCATTACTCCGTAAACCACATGTATACCGCCATTAATGGGTTTCATATTTTGCAGTGGTCCAATGGCTCCAATTTCAAGGAAAAAAAATTAAGATTAAATAAATGATAATAGTATAATAATAGCATGCCAATCCTGTATAAATCAGAAGTGATGAACTATCCTCATCAAAATAAAAATTATGTATCAATAAAAATTTATAAATTATGTATGTATGGTTGTTAAAAACTATTTAATGGATAATAATATACTTGTATAATCATAAAAAATATCAATAATAGATATTCACGAGTAATGATTTTATGAAATTTCAAACTTAAGCTCAATATAACATTCAATGAAATTTATCTAGCTGGCATATAATTCCAAAGAAGTTAGATATATAGATAACGTGATTCAAAAAATCAAATTGAATTTTAAAACAACATTATTTAAGTATTAAGGACCCAAAATTATGTTGAATCTACTTTTAATCGAGTGCAAGTGTGAAGAGAAACATGATATTCCACCAATGATAACCAGCCTAAAGAGCAGATCAAACGTAATCAAAGAATAACCTAGATACAAAAATAAGTAAAACAAAGTGAATGTAGGTTAAAAATATGCATCATTTGAAAAGATGCATTGTAGATAAACCATGATCCATTATGATTCAGACGGAGTTTTCAATCCAAAGTCCACATAGTTGATGTATAATAGTATTAGTATAATCAATCCATATCAGTATATTAATCAATATAATCAAATGAATGTACATATAAATTATATTGATTTTTGAATGATTCGAGAACAGATGTAAAGTCAATATGAATGAATGAACAATAAATAAGTAATGACATAAAGTTTAGAAAATTGTTCCTTTGATAAACTGCTGATGGAGATTGATCATTATGTGCAAAAGATTTGTAGACTAACTTAATACAAGAAAGTAAATATGTACTAAATAAATAGCAAAAAATATGAAAAGATCTAAGATGTTACACAACGATGGAAATAAATGAAGTATAAGATATTTCAATGACATCAATCTATAAAATCATGTCGTACATCATCAGATCTATAAAAACTATTTAATTATTTAGATATGTTACAAAGACTTGACACAAATCCTTTTATGAATTGATTCCCAATTGCCCAATCACATATTTTATACTGTACATAGCACTGTGTAGTAACTAATCTATAGACAACAAAGAAACATACATTAAGGGGGCGGCTAATTATCCTTCACTTAGGTCTAATTAGCCATCACTTATTGGTGGCGCCTAATTATAGCTTCCGTGGGATGAGTAATAAACTTTGCGGGTTTTACTACCTTTTGCTCTTTGTCCATGATGACTGTGTGGTGATTGATGACATTGACAGTTGAAGAGAGGTGTACCTACGGTACATTCGGGTTTTCGGTGTCATTGATGCTTCAAATGAAATAAAAAAAGTAGAGTCACGGCAAATCCATGCCGGCCACCTCCGCATTCAAGGTCCATTGTGAATGTTGTCTCATAGAATGGGTGGAGTTTGTTGTTCTCGGATTGTGTTGTCTGATCGTTGTCAATGTACTACGCATGATGTCATTGCAACTAAAGCTTGTAGGAAGTCATACTTTTTGAAGACCTATTATGCAATTCATGTCGTACGTCAAAATTGGCTACTAAAAAAATGTTTGAAATGTGTCAAAAATTTTTGCAATACAATAATCCATGTGCTGTGATATTATTAGCTCCAGATTGGATAGTCTACAGTACTTCAAATGTTGACTATTGATGAACACCTGGAATTTGGATGAAATCAAAAGATATCATTATTCGCTATGATGGTTGAGGAGAAGGAAGTAGCAAAAGTTTCATGTACGTTTGTTGTTTATGTTCAAACATGGAACACTCATGAAAATTGTAATCTGAGTAAGTGTTGAGTTTGGAATCACTTAGTGCCTGATCCGCTCACTTGGATGATACTCGTGGCTTGCAAGCAAGAACATTGTCTTTAAGTTTTGAGAGACAGATTTGATAGTGTTATTAGATTCCAAAAATTGCACAATGTTGGCAATTATGTACTTAAGTGATGGCTCTTATTGGGCTAGATGCAAGTCATCATTACCAAAGTCAACTAAATCGTAGCCACGTCAAAGTAGGAGTATTTATTGAAATTGGTCTCTAGCGAGGAGAGTGGTAGCATCTCTCAAGTTTGTAGCCTACCGTTGTAATGTAAAAACTTTATAACGCAAGTTATTTTCCGTTGGGTTTGACATGGCTTTTGCCACATAAGCATCATGGACAAAGAGCGGAAAGAAATAAAACCCGCAAAATTTAATACTCATCCACGGAACCTATAAAGAGACGCCACCAAAGAGTGACCAAATTATAGTAGGTTGAGGACTAATTAGCCCAAGTGAGGGATGAGTAGCCGTTTACTCATTTCTGACTAATTTTTTTTTTCTATTGGAAATTTATATGGAACTCTCTTATACAACAAAAATAACACTAACTTCATCCTTGAGATGTTCATCAAAGGAAAACACAAAAGTAATTGATTCATCAAATATAATCATAGCTCTCTCCTTCCCCGAACACATAATGAGTCTTACCCTCATCAATCATATTTTCCATCATTCGAATGATGATCTCCATCTTTAGTTGGAGCTTGAACCAGCCGATGTCACTTTCTCCGTTTCAACATTTAGCTTGCCGTCAAAACCTTCCAAAAGTGATTCTAGAAGCGTATTCACTGCATTGCATTCGTGTCCCGCATGTAGTCCAATCACTTCACAATTGTCACAGAAGGTCGTGCTTTGGAATTCATGTGGCGATGATGGTTCCAAGTGATATTTCAACTCTCCCAAGTTCCTCTTGCTCCTCAATCTTTTATCCTTGTTTCGCCAGGAACAATTGACAATCTTAAGTCCATACTCTCCATAATAAAAGCAAGCCTCACGTTTGACTCTTGGGTATTGACTTATTACTCTTTTTTCAAACTCCACCTTGAATTTTGTTGTATTAAAGTTTAAAGAGATTATAACATCCAAGACTTGAGTCACTTTGGATAATTTAACATTCCATCCATCTTAATCACTCATTTTTCCAGAAGGTGTAAATCACTCAAAAGGCTTCTCCCAAAAACGCTATCTATCTGACAAAAACTACGAATAAGGAAATTCAAAACTTTTGCTCTCTTATTCTGATTTTGTACCCTCTAAACTTCAAGATAGCATAACTTTGTATCTAAACGTGATATCTTAGTGAAATTTTGGCTCGCACGTAGGCTATCTTGCAATACACACTCATACAAAGTTTCAAAGGCTAACTTGAAAGAAAAAAAAAGTAATTTACTCTATACAAACTTTTCTAAAATCAAAATTTTGGCACCCGTGAAAACCTCTTCTACTTCTAATAATCACATAAATCTATTAACACATGAACTAGATCTGAAACAAAAATTAAAAAATTCTCTACCTTTCATTCTACAATCGATAATAATCTCTGAAAAATACTTTCAAAAATACTTTCGCGGTATCAAAGATCACTTTTTTCCTAAAATGACGTGTTTACGTGAACAAAACATACAAAATCACTTCCAGACTATCAATTGAGACTTTTGGATAGAAAAATGAAATTTCATTCTCAAGCATACTATTTGCTTTTTCATTCTCCAACGTGAGTTGGGGAATGAAAAAGCTTGATTTTAAGCTTGACTCAAATTGATTTTAACTCCAAGTGATACCTCATGGACATTTTATCTCGAGTTAAAAATCAAATCCTAAACATTTCGTCGTCTAGATTGAGTATCGAGCAACGGAACCAAAAATGTAACCTCCAGGTTTACCCTCACTCAGGTTTACCTCATATGGTTTTGAGTTAGCTCATCATGATTCTAGAAGACCAGGATTTCTCCTTGTACTCCTCGTAGCCCAAACACTTTATAGAATCTAGATTTTTGTACAAGACAAAATAGAAATGCTCACTCAAATCTTTTAAAAATTCTATAGTTATTCCTCCAAGTATAGATATTATAGCTAAACATAGT